TATAGTATATATATATATATATATATATATATATATATATAATAAGAGAATAACTTTGGTCATTACTTTTAAGTAACAGAATTTATTAACAAGTGTTTATGGCTTAATGCATTAAGGTAACAGTTTTGTATTAAACTGATGCATTAGGTTAGCAACCCATGAGAAAGCACACAAGATGAAAAAAAAAGATAAATCACTAAAGAAGAAACCCACTGAATTTCTAAAAGCACTCTGATTGTTATGCTTCTTGTTGTTTTATGGTATTATGTATCATTCTTATAGAATTATCCATGAGTATGTATAAAGGTATTAAATAGTTCATACAGATTCTCATACAATTAATGACACAATTTGTTAAATAATTGACGAATTTTACAACACTTATATCTTTATAATTAAGAAAACAGTTGGAATTACTTTTTGCATGAAAGAATACTTAGAAAAATAAAAATGACAAAAAGTAAGCATTTTAAAATGGAAATAAAAGATCTTGTATATTTTTATTTTTTAGTTCTATTAAAAGTCCATTTTGAATAATTTTTGCATATTATTTCTTGGTATTTATATATTTTTGTAAATTATATACCATTTACATTATACTTACATTTCACAAATCCAATTAGGTGTTTATTACACTAACACAGAGAATTTTAGTTGGTATAAATGAAATAGAAATACCATACACTGTGTTTCAAGCACCAATCACATAAAGTTAAGCTTTTCTTTACTATTCTGTCTTTGCTGTTTTTTTATGATCTCTATCTGTTTTTAACACAATTCTGTAGGGGTTATCTCTGTGGCAAAGACATTAGATTATGAAGAAGTGAAGGATTATATCTTAACTATTGAAGCCAAGGATGGAGGAACACCACCACTGAATAACCATGCCACTGTTAATATTTCTGTTGTTGATGCCAATGACAATTCTCCTGTTTTTAATCAACCATCTTACCAAGCTATAATAAGAGAAGATGCATCCCCTGGAGATAAAATAATACAGGTTTAGTAAAAGTTTTCCAGTTTAGAAATAAACAACATTTTTTTAAACTTTAATATTATGGATATAATTCTTTTAAGTTGTATATTTTACATAGGCATATACTACCTAATTAAAATATATACAGTTCTATATATTAAATTCCTTATTTCAATAAAAATATAATCAATAAAGAAGTAAGATAAGAAATACCAATATATTAATCACAAAGAAAGTTGAAGTTAAAAAAACACAGAAAAAGTGACAGGTATGGCAAAATGGTATATACATTTTGGAATGGGTTTAATTCATTATCACCAGAATAGTATGGAAAACTTTAGACGATATAATAATTAATTCACGTATGGAATATATATGCAACACATTACTGAATGTAAACAAAGTTTCCTACTTAAATGAGTTTTTGTTGTTATTAAGAATGGGAAGTTTCATAAATTGTTTCTTTAATAAAGAAATACTACCTCAATATTTTACAGCTCCTGTCTAAGAAAAGTTGGTTTGTGCATTCACAACTTCACATCATTGAAGGCTGATCTTTGTTTTCTAACATCCAAATGGTTTGTTACTGGTTTATCAGAATTGGTTTTCTGGCAGTTATCGTATATGTATAAGTATAAATATACCATGAAATTAACAAGATAAATATGTAATCTTCAAACCTTTGCAAAAAGAAAGGGGCTAGGCATGGCCTAGTGAGTTAGCATACCAAGATCATGAATCTGAGGATTTATGGTTTATGTCCACAACAGCACTTTATGGCCATGAGTGCTATGTACGTGATGATGAAATCTTTTTATTCAATCAAATAAGAGTTACAAGTGGATGGTGTTGATTAGTTGCTCTCTCTCTATTCTGTCAGTTTAAAATTAGGAATGGCTATAAAAAGATGATTCTTTGCATAGCTTTGCATGAAAATCTAAAACTTTGCAAAAAAAACAACAACTTAAAAAATATTTTTTGTTGGATTTTTGAGTAGAATAATTTGAAAAATCTAAATGTAAAACACACAATACCAGGTCATACATTATAGGTCACTAAGATGAAGTTGTCCAAGGTTTATTAATAAACCTTTTAAGTACTTATGTTGAAGTTGTTTGTGACTGACATACCTAAAAAAATATAAAATCAGTTAATGTACGGGTGACAGGAATGCAGGAATTTAGGAGTTTAAATAAAAAAACAAAAGAATATGAATTCAGTAGATTATAGGAAGATTGTTCAGCTATGTGTCTCTAATGTGACAAAGAGAGATGTTAGGTAATAACTGGGCCAAGTAAAATCCCTATAGGTAGGGTGTCAGCCCAATCATTCTAAACAAAGCTTATTTTTGTAACAAGAAGCTCAAATATATATTCAAAAGCTTGGAAGTTTAAGCCACTAATTAACTGATTAATGTTTCAAGAAGGTTTGGAGGGCAAATGTTATTGTTTTAACAAATTAAAATGCAGTTAAGATATAGAATAAATATCCAGACTGTTCCTAAACTAGTTATGGGGTTAAAGTAAAGGTTAAATCTTTTGAAGGAAAAGCTAATTTAACTATAGTATTGTTACGTCTTCGGTCGTTTGTTAATTACCCATAAAAATTCTTTCCGAAAAACTTCAGCGATACAAGTCCTTTCTTAAATAAAACTAGTTTATTCTTTCTCAATAAACTTTGCAATACACTTAATTTCCACAGTCGCTTTAACTTAAACACACGCTATAATTCACAACGATTCACGCACTTTACCTAAGGTCACGACCGTGCTTGACTCAATTGTCCATCTCTATCTCTGCCTGTCTGCAATTCAATTAATTATATCATTTTATTTGCCTGCTTATATACGGGAATAGAGGGTATCTAGCATATACTGGATTATTCGTGATGTTCCCCGAT